GGGCGAAGTGGGAGGCGGGGTTTCGGGGGGGGATGGGGTGGCCAGTGAGACCCGGCAGCCAGGAGCGCGCCCCTTCCGCCCGCGCTGACCTTCCCCGAGCGGCCAGGATCGGCGAGGACTGTGCTCCTGTCTGCACCCCCGCCCTAAGGCTCAGACCCCGGCTCTCACCGTGGAGTGAGAAGGGTCGACAATTAAAGTGGATGCGCCGAACAACCGCGCCGTTGCTGTGGAAACGGGAGAACCACAGCCCAATCTCTACGCCTTCCCTTGCAGGGCCCCAGCAGGGGTGGGGGTGGAAGAGGGGATGAGTCACAAGACGAGACCCTCCCCCCACATATCCTACCCGAAATCGTTGGGGAGAGGGGTCAACGGGGAGCTCCTGAGGTTGGGTAGGGGAGAGAGGAAATGCGGTGGTCAGTATTTTGCATCATCCCACGCCCGAGATACACACGCACACGCACACGCGCGCACACACACTGTCGCTCGCTCTCTCCTAACGCCAAGGAGAAGAAGGTGGGTGTGCGCAGGGAGCCAGCGTGGATGGCCAAGTACTCGACCTCAGCCTGGGTCCTTGCAGATGGTGGGCTCCCGCCAGCTGCCCTTCACAGCCCTGATTCCCAACCTCCTTGGACAGAAGATAAGGCCCGCTTTATTTCTCTCGGGTTCAACGCCAGAAGGACCCCTTTTCCTACCCACGGTCGCATCCATTCCCCACCCTCCCGTCTTCCCGTCCGTCCCGTAGACAGAGCCGGTCCCCAGCCGCCGCCAGTCTCCGGCCTCGGATGTTGACACAAACCCGAGGCGGTTTACACTGAGCAGGTCTGGAAGGTTTCAGGGCCCCGGGAACACCGCCTCCTCGCTCTTGGGGGTCTCCCCAAAGCCCGGCCCAGCCGCTGGACTGCACTGGAGTCTGAGAGCTCCCGAGGGCAGCGGGTAGGAACCCTTTTCCATCACGCTGGGGGCGAAGGGTAGCGGATAACGCCTGGGCTGGGCCACGTGCAGGGGAGGGACTTCGAGGGGAGCTGTCAACGTTGGGGGCGGGGCGTCTGGGGATTGGTCGAACCGGAGTGCGGTTGGAGAAGTCGGCGGTGAAGAGGCGGGATCTGTCCAGGCAGCAAATGCAGGGGTGGGCGGGCGGTGGGGGATGGGGATAAGCCTGCAGCCAGGGAAGATGTGACTTTCAGGACCGGTTCCAGAAACTCCAGGGTCAGGGGAAGAACCAGTGGACGTCCCTCTTCTTTACGGACAGTTCTATTCCCGCCTCGAACCTGGTTCACTGTACCGCTGCAGGCTAGGTACCTGCGCCTCTACCTTCCGTTGGTGACTTAGGTGGGACAGGGGTTCGAAAGCGCTCTTTACCTGGAAGGGCCTTCTCTGCTCTGGACCCTGGGGATTATCCCAGCGTGCAGTTAACCCTAGACAAGGCATCGGGAGGCAGGGAGAGGCAGCTCAGGGTACAGAAAGTGGACTCTAGGGACCAGCAGTTAGCGTAATGGCTATGTCGCTGGACTCCCATGTAGTCGACCGCGGTTCGCATCCTGGACCCGGTGGCTTAGACTCACGCCCGGCGCCTGTGCGTGCGTGCCCAAGATCCTGAGAGGAGAATGGAGGAGAAGGGATTGCGGCATGGCCATCTCCCCTGGGGGGTGATTTCTTGCTTCCTGTCTCTCTGTCTCTGTCTGTCTTTCTGGCAAGCTCATGTGCCCTATAGCAAAAAACTCTTAACAAACAAACAAACAAAAAAACCCAGAAAGTGGAATCTGACACCCTAAAACAGAGGTAGGTCCCTTTTTGCCATGACCTCACCCATGACCAGGAGCAAGACTTTTCTCATGCTGGGCTTAGCCTATAAAATGTGGGAACTGGTACGGGAGGCCCAGGGGAGCTGGGGAAAAATTTCAGCTAGGATGAAGAAAGTTTGTCACTTCGGAGCGAGTTATGGAGCTATGAATATGAGAGCTCCATACAGGCTCGGGAACCCCTTAACAATAGCTAACATACGAGAGCTCACTGGACCTGGGGGCTGTCTCACACTTCACATGTATCATCTAATTTATTCCACAGAAAAACTCTACAAGGCGGTCCGGCAGATGGCGTAATGGTAACGTCACTGTACTCCCACATAGTCGACTGTGGTTCAAGTCCCAGACCGGGTGACTTGAAACTCATGCTGTGTGCGTGTGCGTACGTGCCCAGAATCCCTAGAGGAGAATGGAGAAGAAGGGATTGTGGCATGGCTATCTCCCTGGGGGATGATTTCTCGCTTTCTGTCTCTCTGGAAAATGCATGCATCCTATAGCAAAAAAAACAAACAAACAAAAAAACAAAAAACTCCCTAAAAAAAAAAAAAAAAAACCCCCAAAAAAAAAAAAAAAAAAAAAAAAGATGAGACAGAGGCACGGCTTCTGTTAAGAGGCTGGCCCACAGTCACACAGCTAGTTGAGTTACAGCGCTGGGCTTTGAACACAAGCTGTGCGTCATCAGAACCCATACTCGGCCCGTATGCAATACTGCCTCTCCTTAAGATCCTTTATATCCTTAAGGGGAGCAACTTTGGGTTGAAATACTCTTTCTGACTCCATGAGGCACTAGGAACGCAAAGCCCAGCCTCCTGGGCAGTTTCTCCCTGTCAGGTGAACAAGACGCGGGATCCCAGCAGCGCAGCAGAGCTGGCGTACTGAAGAGCAAAGTCCTCCTGAACTGCAAGGGGCCAGCGAGAGCCTCCTGCCCGTCTCCAGCCCCAGCAGCAGTACCTGTGCAGTCTCGCTCACGACTCCTCTCGGGGCCTTGTGACTGTTCCAGAACTGCTGGTCACAACCCATTTTCTGCTCACCACGCTCGACCCTGAGACCATGATCTTGAGCCTGCCCCTGTCCCCTTAGGTTTGATGTTTAAAGCTGGCATTGATGAAGTTGCTCCGCTGTGTACCGGAGTCTCTGGCATGCTCTTATCTGCATCCTCTCTCGAAATCCCGAAGATGGCTACCATCAGGGGCAATATTAAACACACCTAACAACCACGCAGGAAAGAGCCTTACCGATCAGAGTGGATGCTGACCTCAATGCTACATCAAGGTCTTAGTAGCTCTCTGTTCTACCGAGAACTTATTTAGTTATTGGCAGGAGTGGGGGAGACAAGGGAGGACATAGAGTGGTAGGCGATGGTGGGCAAGGATTTTGATTATCTACTTACCGATCAATCTGGAAGTATTTTTACTTATTTTTAAGATGTTTTTGCCTTAGGGTTTGTGCACTAGTTGGGGAGAGAGAGAAAGAGACAGAGACAGAAGGAAAGTGAGAAATCATCTCCTGGGAGAATGGCCACACTACAATCCCTTCTCCTCCATTCTTCTCCTGGGATCTTGGGTATGCATGCACATGCACCTGGCATGATTTTCAAGCCACTGGATCTGGGATTTGAACCAGGGTTGGTCATGTGGGAACCCAGCAATGTAATCACTACGCAATCTTCTGGTCCTAGTATTTTGGTGTTTTAATGATCAGTTCGACAGTACTAGTGCATAGGGACTGAGTTTCAGAGCTGGCTTTGCTACTTTAGCTCATGGCAGTGGATGGGGGCTCAGAGAGCTTAGACAACTTGACCATTGTAACACAGCTCATTAACAACAGAACGGAGATTCCAATCTCGATCTAACTCCAGAATCCACACTCTACCACCAGCGGACCTGTGCTCCCGGGAAGGGGGATATCCAGAATCAAGCTGGGTTTCCACCGTTCTGCAGCTGAAGGCCGGGGTTGGAGGAATGTGTTCTAAGGTCTGAGGCTTTGTCGGGCGTTGCTGTTCTCGGGCTTGGGGCCTCGGCAAACACTCTCCTACGTTGTTGAAGGAGTGGGCATTGCAGAACAAGGACAGGGCAAGCTGTATGGAAGAAGGGCAGAGGGGCTGTGTGAGAGGCCCGAAAGAGGGCACGGGAAAATTGAGCCCAGCAGCGTTTCAGTGAGGACAGAGGCCTGCAGGCAGTGGCCAGTTCAGTCTGCCTCACCTAAGCGCTAGCATTCCTCCCATCCTTGGTCCTGCACAGCGCCTAGATGATGGATAATGCCTTCCTGATTCCCTGGGTTTTCTCCACCCTGGCTAGTGCAGCCTGGTGACAGCTGGAATTCCCCTGGGTCCTGGATGGTTCACAGTCCCCTTCAGCACTGAGCTGGTTAGATCACCAGAGTTGAGTCCCTTCCCTTTCCCCTATTGACTAAGCAGGATTTTTGTTTTCATTGCCAAAATAGAAATCTATTATCTTTTTTTTTTTTTTCTTAATACAAGGTGACCGAAAAATGATTCAGAGGGTGGAAGTTCCCCATAATCCTTTGAGTGGTAGTTTTTGTGCTGTGCAGCTTCTATTCCCCCGTCTCCTGGAGAAGCCATAAGTAGAGCAGCTTGAGCTCACAGGCTTGAGCCAGTCTGCCCGAGTTGGCCAAGTTTGCATCCCGGCTCTGTCCTTTACCAGCTGTGCTACCACCAGCAAACTGCTTCACCTCTCTGTGTCTCCGTTTCCTCATCTGTAAAGTAAGGATACTATGGGGTGGTCAGCAAAGCCATGACATATTTTGCAACGTTCTTCTATGCAAAAATGAGTCATGACTTTTCTGAAGACCCAATTATAAGAGCACGCATTTGATAAGGCTGAGGATTAAAATGAGTTAATACGGGCAGTGTGCTTAGAGTAGACTCTATCTCCAGGAATTACCTAGCCCCAGTACACGACAGGTCATTTGGGGAATGACTGGTTGTTTGAAGGTGGGTTATTATGGGGGGTAACCTGGCGTTTGCAGGCTTGTTGAGAACTCAGTCCAGGTGTCCTGCCTTTCCTTGGACAGGGCTGCACATGTGACTCACCTTGGGCTGAATAGACTCTTTCTCCTAGGCTAGTGTGGACCTCGAGTCAAGTTACTCAAGGTAGCAGGTGGATGGCGCTGGTTTATTCCAGGATATGTCCTGTTGACCGAATCCTCAGGGACCAGCCTGGTTTCTGTCCTTTTAACCTGCCTTTTCAGCTTTTCCTTGATTCCATAAGCCATACCTCTCTGAACTTCTTTTAAAAAAAAAAAAATTATTTACCTATTTACTCATGATTTTCAAGCTGCTGGGTCCAGGACTCAAACTGCGATTGGCCATATGGGAATCTGGTACTTTAATTACCAAGCCACCTGCTGCCCCCCCCTTTTTTTAAATTTAGATGATCTAGAGGCAATTTCTGCTTGCTTGCAAAGAACCCGTGTGAGTTTAACATAGTCTCTATCATTTACAACTCTTGGTTGTAAATGGCAGAACATCCAGCCCATGGTGAGTTAGACAAAAGAGAATTAAGGGCTCAAGTAAGGGAAAACCCAGGTGTGGATTAGACTTCAGGGACAGCTGGATTCAGGGGCTTGAACAGGCCATGAAGATAGACCTTTGGCAAAAAAAAAAAAAAAAAAAAAGAAAAAAAAAAAAGGGGACATGC